ATGCGCTCAGCGAGGACACGGCCAGCCCCTCCAGATTGAGGGATTTTCTTTATCCTATCACGGAGAGCATCATCGTGATCCGCCATGAGTTGAGCACACTTGCTGCATGCCGAGTTAACGAGCGACTGCTCTGAAGGACGTCCAACCCTATGCACATTAAAGCGTCTCGCCTGTGTGTCGTTCGATATGCGATTAGAGACAATAGCGCATACTTAGCACGGGGGCTTCTTGTAGAGATACCGTCTCGATATAGAATAACTTATTCTATATCGAGACGGCAGAGGGAGCTCAAAGCCCCCTCTGCCACTCATAGAGTAGTAGTACTACTGTAGTACTCGAGTTGTCGCAACTGCCACCCGCTGACTAAGCCAACGCAACGATATAAAGGTTGATAGAAGATTGAAATCACAAAAAATATAGACAAGAAAAACTACGAGAAGACGGCCATCCTGACCTCAGACGAATCTCTCTGAATTTCTCACGCACCACGGAGCAAGCTCGTCGGATCCCCTCCCTGCAAGAACACCAAATTCTGAGGAGGCGCCGCCATCCCCGGTGGAACCACATGACGGAAACTGCATCTGAACGGGCCAGAAGTGAATCTTTGGATCAGCAACCTAAGATACCACCTATCTCCGTAATGGCACTGTCCTCGCAACCAATGACGGCATATCTTAGAAGCTCCACCTACGTCGCTTCGCAATCTTTTGTACGCCGGTCCGGTTTGTGACTGATACCGAAAATCCTCCAAACCTTTTCCGCTGCTGTTTCTACCGCATCAAATCCATGCGGCTGATTCTCCGGTAACCTCGGATCAACTGCTTTCGGCGCTACATTTCCATCATCATCCTCATCATCATCCTCGGAAACTTCTCCTAATGCACTCCGCCTCTTTTTTGCCACCAGCATATTCTGCGCGGCGTATAATTCCTGATAGAAAAACCATAAAACAGTCTCCACCCCAGTGAAGACCCTACATGAAGTTTGTCTTCCAGCGACTCCTGCGTTGATCCTTCAACCATAATCATCTGTATTGCTGGTATCTAAAACCGGACCTATTCCGTATCTTACAGTTGCCAACCTAAGATACCGGTATTCCTCTCTGAGAACACCACACCCCATAGTCTTCATAGACTCCCTTCATAAGATGCTCCACCATCTCACATGTGCGTCGGTAGGATACCTAATCCGTATCTTACCACGAGCAACCTAAGATACCTCCCCTTACCTCGTCGTTGCTCGAGACGCAGAGATGTAGAGGCTCGTCCGACTCCTTCTGTTCAGGTCCCTCCCTGTAGTTACCTATTAATTTCCGAGCCGACAATCACCATAGAGCTCGAACATTCTAGTAGACATATTCAACTTGGTGAGAGGTCTATGAACGACTATGCCTAAATAGATGCTATGGTTTTCTACATTCACTCTACATCGTATCCACTATTAAGGATCCCCGCATAAAAACATTCATGAAGTAAATATACTTCTTTCCGAGCACAAAAGTACCCACCCCAGGATTCGAACCTACGACCATCTGTTCCATAACAGACATCCCAACCAACTCGACTACAAAATTAACGACAACCGCAACACCAGATCTCACTTCTTCGTCCTCTCAATCTTAATTTCGCACACGTTGTGTTATGAATTTCCTTCATATGCTCCCCATTAGGTCCGATGATCCTCCCGACTATAGGGAAATCCTTATGCATTCTCTCCGCTCCGATTACGAATCTGAACAAATGCTTTAATCCACAATTCCACCATTCAGAACATCCCTACCGCGCGCACCAGCGTCCGCCAGCACTCATCGCCGCTACCCCTTCTGGATCGACTCCAAGACAGGCTCCCTCCCCTATACACATAATCAGTGTAAGAGAGAAATACACACTCGTTGCTGATAATATAACAGTTATTGGGAAATCTCGGGAAATTCTTATTGGTTTCGATGCACTTCTCGTTTGAAAATGAGAAACCAACACATATTCCCACACGGCGCATAGAACATAGAAGCAGGAATTCATTAAACTTCAAGAAATAACTTTACTTAAAGTCTAAAGATAGTGAGCAAAATGCTGCTAATGTGATGATTTCATTTACGTGGGAAACTGATCGAAGAATATGATCCTAGCCATACGTGGAAGCTTCGAAATGAGTTCCTCCTAGGTTCCTGAACAGAGCTACCAAGTCTCACCTTCTCGTTGTAAGCTAGCGGCCGCAGCAGTCTCCAACAGATTCTGTTTATGCAACCATTACAGCGTCAATTAAAAAAACATTCTCACCCTCAGTTCTTTCTCGACTTCAGCGCTGAATCGTTTTAAACGTACAACACATGTGTCACCTTCGAGCTTCAAAACCATTCCTGAGCCAAAACAACTCTATCACCGGCGGAAATGTAAACACTGGGGTTTCACCCGTTTTACGTGGAGTGGCGTAATACTCTGTGGAAAAGACGATATTCGCGGTGATATGCAGTAGTCGTGAAATATGTTTTTCATATTACGGGCGAAACTCCATCGTTTTCTAAGTGAGTGTATTATCTAAGTTATAATATCTAGTACATGAAAATACAGAAACCACTATAACTACAAGTTTCATCACTAAACAACAGTGTTGTAAAATATACACACCTTCCTCAGCTGAGCTCAGAAGTGTTCTCAATTATAAAACTAGGGTATAAGTGTACAAAAACCAACAAAAATTTACTCCCAAAATTTTCACATATTTTTCAACACTGCTGAATAACTGACCATCTAGATGACGTTGGCAGTCTTGTGCATCTGAATTCTCTTGGAATTCGACTAACGCCACATCGGGCGCCGAAACCGAGTCCAACAACTGCACTGTTTTCAGCGGAC